AGTTCTACTTTTTTTGTTGTTAGTCCTTTATCGATGTGCTCAAAACACTCATCGAGTCGGGGCTATCGACCATCAATGGTAACGCGGTTATCTGTAGAACACGTGCGTTAATAATATCGGGGTATGTATTCGGGAGTTTTCGTTTCCAAAAATTTGTCACTGAATTCAGAGGACAGCCTTTTTGCAAATACCCAATAGTCACTTATTACGTGTAGTGAATGTCTACCGCATTCTAGGCTATGGCTGAAAAGACTTACTGGTTGGTTGGATACATTGAAGGACATCGCAGTGACCTGTCTGCAGTGGCTTTATTGTTGTCATCTCATCAGATTAGAACGCGTGAGGTGTGTAACCACAGTTCGATTGTGTATTTCGTTAGCTAACCATGTCTGTTTTGTTTCTCGTCTCCCTCTAACACGCCTAATCCCAAAGCATGTTGCACATCCGTACATAGTTTACATGCAATATGAGCCATACAACAATCCCTGAATTTTGTTTCATTCCTTCCTTGACTGTATGATAGTGGTGATTGTTAAGTGGGAGGTCACGTGCNCACGTGCCGTGAATGTCCATGAAGTTCTGTGGCTTTTATGCAGGGAACTTATTACCATCATCGGACAACGCTGCTTGTTGAGATCTTGCTCCCTTATTCACAAGCAACCTCTGTCGTTGCCACTTCAATCCACCCACTCTCCAATCCATTCGTTTGTGCCCTTCACACGGAGTACCGAGCTTCACTAGGCCTGGTTACCAACTTTAAGGCCTCCAAAAGTCTCAACATGCTCAGGGGTTGGTGTCTAGGGTTGCGGCTGGTCACTGTTCTCTTGCATCTCACGAATTGTTCCCATATGACCATAACTATATACCATGTACCATGATTTGTTTGGCACAGTTTGAATTTATTCATGTGTGAAATGCATGACAACTTTAGGTATTGGTAGTCCGCTTGCTGACTTATCTGAAAGAACAATAGATCGTCAGGACCATGCGAGTCACGCCTTCTGTTGTTTGTCACAGTAGTGCCGCGGAACGTTCCAAAACACGCGTTCCCATTTTCGTCATTTATCTATGATACTACTTGCTCCATCTATTATAATCACATTGTTGTAGTAAAAATAATGTTCGCCATGACAGAACTCTACGATCAGAAGCATCGGCTCAGTGTCTAGAATACCTGACCCACATAATTCCGAGCCCTGATAAATATGTCCTTTTTTGCATATAGACGCACTGAATCATCATTTGGTCTTTACACTCCAGCTCAGTCCATGCCAACTTCAGCCACTGACAACTCCTATCCAACGAGTCCCTAGAATAGCTATACTTAGTTATGCCGGTCAGTTTTGACCTTTTACATCTGTTCGCTTTATAATATGATCATGTTGTTTTGATTTTCTCAATGAGACAGTCGGTTAAAACTTCGGAATGTGAGGTGCTTTAAGCGTGGTTGCTGCAATGTTTTCAGTAACTTAATGCTACATTTTTAGTGTTTATATCTCGTCGTGCATAGCTTTTTTAGGCATTGCAGTTTATCTTCCAGTTTTCCTTCATCGTCTACTTCTCAGAAGCGTTGCTTTAATTGATATTTGGACTTTCTCAAGTAACCCAGATATTTCGATTTATTTCCTTTTGGATCTTCAGTGTCAAATGGTTCATCATGTTCCTTATTTGTGTAACAAAATTTTTCCATTATCTTGTAGGTTTCTATAGCTTCTTCTGTTGTACGCGTTGGTGAATCTCGGACGCGCCTAGATGCGACCAAAGCCCTAAAGAATTCCGACAAAGAACGGTGAGTTGTGACATCAAAATGATTTTTGGGTGGTGGTGGCGTAGCTTGGTCAGCTTTCCTGCAACTCCTCGGACTGTTACAGAACCGCTGCGAAATAAGCCCATACATCAAGCTTCGCATTTACCACTCTTTCATTCGTCTCATCCTCACCTACGATTATGAAGCATGTTAGTTAAGAGTACAAGCCTCAAGGAAGCTAGGATTCTTCGACCATTGGTGCTTATTTTGCATTTCGACATTAAATTAGACCTAACAACGCAGCACGAACATTGACTTTCTCGAATTCTACAACACTAGCGTCTTCCGTGGTTCGACCACATGCTTTGAAATCCCAAGGCTCAACTTTCGCGTCAGACTCTACCGTATCTAGCGTTACCACCTTGGTGGTCAACTGAAGACCTGGAGTAATACGATCAAGATATATGTGGAACGACTGGGCCTCCAATCCATATATGGTGCTCATAATGGCCTACCTTGGCGCCGATCACCACGCAGGGGCAATAATCATACATGATATTCAAGAAACAGACTTATCGTCACCTAGTGGTCGATCGCTCAAAACACGGGCTTGCAGCTCCACAAATTTACGTATATGCGGTAACGGCCACACTCTGGTAGTTCCTTAGTGAACCCCTTATATCTCTATTCCTTTTCAACGTTGTCATAGTGTGTTCTACAGAGTCCTTTGTCCGGTTTAGCAAACGGTGTAGTCGAACTCCCAGGGAACAGAGTCCTTGACTTGCCGATGAGTTTGCCTTGCTGGGTGACAACACAGACAGTCCAACACGCTTTAAACCGCTTAGCAATCGAGATATCCAGGTATGGTATATGCCGTCCAAATGCAAAGTGCGTGTTCAAGACTGGCAGGAACATGTGCATGCACTCACTCTCTGTGGTGATCAGCTGGTGATGGTGTTAGGGAGATCACATCACGAATAGCGAAAGAGCAGCTTTCGCCAACCTGCGACACCTGTGGCGTCGCCATGACATCCGACTGTCCCTTAAGGGAAGGGTATACATCGCCGCGGTTTGTAGCGTTCTCCTTTACGGTTGCGAGACCTGGCCTCTCCGCGTTGAGGATGCTAATCGACTTTGTGTTCGACCACTGATGTCCCCGAAGCATTGCTCATGTCTGGTGGGAACATCGGGTGAGCAACGGCGGGGCCTTTGAAACTGGCCGCGCGGTCCGTTACATCGTCGGACTCGCAACTACACAGTCACTCTTCACTAGATTTTATCTGGGATACACGTCCTTTGTTGTCATAAAAACGTTGTGCAATTATGATCATCCTAAATTCTGTGAAATACTCTGCCGTTTTCATGAAGCAACTTCGAATTTCCGGCCACTGGATTTTACCTTCTTTTGGCAAATCGGTTCGTAACAGAGAGAGAAGAATTTACGGAAATCTCAAAAAATTTCCCGGAAAACATCGAGCTGGATGGCAGGTCGCACTACGCAAACGATCAGTTTCGGACATCTGCATTCCAGCAGTCATCAGTGGAAATGTGCGCTCCCTGCTTGGTGATGTGGCAGAAGTAATAGATCTGACAAGGAGACGTAAATATTCAAAGGTTGGAGTCGTAATGCTTCAGGAGAGCTGGCTCCATAATGAAATTGATGATAACGTTGAAATCGACAATTTTTCCATCGGCTGAGTTGATCGACCCGTTCCGGTTGACAAACGAGGCGGTGATGTTGCCACATACATAAATGACAATTGATGCAAATCAGGCAAACGAGTCTCTATGTATTCTACCATTTTTATCAGTACTTCACTGTACAAATGCAGACCTAAACAACTCAGTAACTACTGAAACATTATTTTTGGCAACATTTACATTTCTCCTTCTTGTTCCACTGATCATTTTAACGAGTTCACAGATATTTTCTCCGCCGCTTTACTAAATTACGTAGACTTCTCCTTTTGCATCGTGTGTGGTGACTTCAGTAGGTTTGATGTCACGTTTTTGACAACCCTTGGACTACAAAACGTTAACTTTCCGACCAGACTCGAGGCTTGTCTTGATTTGTCTTTCATTAACTATCTGAATTTATATGACTTGCGCAGCCGTTCCCCTATTGGCACCTCTAATCATGCAACACTGAAAGTATCTCCCACGATCTACAGTGGATCGTTTCATCAGTTATACCCTCAGCATCGTGATCGTCGTCTTAGTCGGCGTCAATGTCAACCCGAAAATCTCACCAAACTAAGAGATATATTAGATCAGACAGATTTCTCTTTATTTGTACATAATGACCCCTCTATATTTTGTGATACCCTGACTGAATATTTGAAGTTCTGTTATGATACGTGTTGCCCGTGGGAAACTTTATACGTACCATCAGACCGTTTTTCGTCCCCTACACTTAAACGATTACGTCGGAGGAAAAAAAACTTTCAAAGCAAAAAAGTATTCTTGACGAGAGACTTTCGAAAGCAATCAAGGTTGAACTGCGGAGATTAAACGCCGCTTACGTACATGCACGGCTGGCAAACAGAAATTGTCGGGATACATGGAAAGTGATGTTTCAGTTCTGCGGTCTCAAAACGAAGGAGAATTTTCCAGCTGCCAATGTGGACGATCTCAATCGCCAATTCAGCAATGCTGAAACCGACATCCCTATTCCATTCACAGCAGTTGTCCCTGCTCCTAATGTTGTTAATTTAATTACTGATCAAACAGAAGTATGCAAAACTTTCATCAATCTGAAGTCTAATAATGCATGCAGTCCTGATGAACCGCCACCTGTTGTGCTCAAAGAATGTGCAGCCTCCCTTTCCCCTGTTTTCACCGACTTACTCAACCAGTGTTTTACTCAACATTGCATTCCGTACTGTTGGAGAGTGGCTTCTATCACGCCAGTACTCAAAAAGGGACCGTCCAAATTTCGCCCGATTGCTTGCACTTGTGTTAATTTGAAAGTTATGGAAAAAATTTTACTACAGAAGATGTCCCAGCTGAATGCATCTGATCCAATTCAATTTGCCTATTGCAGTTCCAGATCAACCAATGATGTGTTGGCATCCCTTATTCATTATGTCTCTTCCTCCTTGGACAAGAGATGTAAAACTGTTTGTATATGTTTCTTTAAATATAGTGATGTGTTTTAATTGTGTTGATAGGTCCAAACTTCTTCACACTCTTTCTGAGAAAGGCATTCAGCCGGGGCTTACCAATCTGTTAAGTAATTCTTTCCCCCATTGATTACAGTTTACTAAATATAAGGGTCATAACTCTTCACTTTTACCCCCCACTCATCAAGTTCTTTAAGGAGCTATGCTCTTTCCCTTCTTGTTCGCAACCTATTTTTCTTCAATGTCTGCTTTTGATGATTGTTTGCCCATCAAGTTTAGCGATGATGTTGTGCATGGCATAAAGTTTTCGAATTCCTCCGTGTACCCCAAACTTATGCAGAACATTTCACTGCTCACCGACTGGTCTTCACAACACAATCTTAAAATGAATCCTTCCAAGTGTAATGATGTTTTATTTTCTTTGCTGAAGGGTGATCAATATATTGAGGTGATGAACTCTTGTCAGCATGCCATAATCAATGGTGAACAAGTTTACCGAGCACGCTCCGTCAAATATCTTAGAGTCACCATTTCCCGCAATCTTTCTTGGTCTCCTCATGTCATTGAGATATTTCACAAAGTCAGAAAACTCACCTTTTACATTATTCGTTTGAAAATGCTATCTACCCCAACTCACTAAATAGAGCGTTTTGTTTTATCCTGTATCCTTCCCCACTGGCTTTGTACACCCCCTGTTATATTTCCGGGTCTTTTAATCAAAGACTTCAAACTCATACGCACATCCATCAAACACGTATGTCGAAACAGCGGCATATCTCGTGAGTATATTGTGCAGCTTATTATTTTACCTTAGGGCTTGCCGGAAACATTCCACCAGAATACCACTTGACCCATCTCATTCACTGTATCCTCACCTTAGTCAATGTATCTCCACATCTAGCACTCGCCCTGTGCATAAACATATAGCAGCACGCACCACAGCATACAAGTCTTCCGTAATACCGTACTTGGCACGGTTTCTTACCAATACTGATCTTGTCATTGGGCTTCTTAAACAAAATCTTTGCTAAATTTCTCTTACTTGTTTGTATATGTAACGTATCATCATCCGTTTTTAACCATTCCATTTCCACAGAAGAATGATTGTGTAGTAGCTGAATGTTCATCCCCTATGTGGCGAATTAAACCCGCTTCTTGACTTGAGGTTCGTCGTCGTGTGTTGGGTGTGGGTCGTAGCTCTCTAACAGAAATAATCACTCTATACCGCCTCCGATGGTTTGGACAAGTATTGCGTATGCCTGCCCATCGATTACCTTTCCGTGCTCTCTTCGCACGTGCTGGGCAAGGGTAACATACGTAGAGGTGTAAAGAAGCTGGCCTCAGCTTTGGCTTCGGTTGGTGCAGTCCACCTTCCACGTTGGGGCCCAAGNCGATGAGGATTGTGGCCCAGAATAGAAGTCTGTGGCGCGAATGCTTTACGGTCTGCCTGTCAAGATCCCGTGCCCCGTAAAAAACAATGAACAACACACAAAAATATCAAAAAGTGTACGGTGAAAAAAACAAGAGAATTTGTTATCCCAGCTATCTACCATTTTCCCGTGTTTAACTGTTTCACCTTTCCACTTTGTTCTTTATTCCAGTTCACCTGCCCCATACTATTGTTATTGCTATTATTGTGAAAATGTTTGTTTTGGCAGATTCAAAGTTGTTATGTCGATTGTGAAAAGTTCAGTAGCCTCGGTGGGATTCGAACCCACGCATGGATGCCGCCTACGCTTTGTACGCGCACGCTCTACCATTTGAGCTACGAGGCCACACCGAAAGCACTGATCTTTTCACATTCGAATTTACTCATCCAACTTACAGAGGCAAATGACATCTACCAATTAGCATGTTAGCTGACTGCCCCGACAGCTTTTCCTTAGAATTCACCGGAAGCGATCAGTGAAGCGAGCTTCACTGTATCTCGCTGTACGATGACGATGATGAATTCACCGCAGTCCACCGAATGAGCCTCTAAGGTAAGTTTCACTGTGCAGTCAGCTAACATGCTAATTGATGGATGCCATATGCCTCTGTAAGTTGGGCGGGTAATTCGAATGTGACAAGATCAGTGCTATCAGTGTGGCCTCGTAGCTCAGTTGGTATTGCTGTTATTGTTGTGGCGTTGACATCATACTTGTCTACAAGCCGGTGTTTAACACACACACACACACACACATATATATATATATATATATATATATAATTAGTAGACCAGCTAAGCCCAGTCAGAATGTCGAGGTTCCCCGAAACACATGGAGAATCGTCGTTTCATTTGGTGAATTGGGTGGACCAAATCACATTCTGAGTCCAACTGCCAGAATGGCGATTTGATTCCAAGTGCCACACTGCCGAGACCGTACTGCCTTTTAGGTCACACCTGATTGTGTATAGGCTGGACCTGCAATCGAAAATGAAAAACTCATTGACATTAACGAAGTCGTTCATGCCCAGTTACCATGAGACTCCCCGAACTATTCATGAAGTCAGTCCATCCTCTTGCTGGAGATGGCTGAAATGAAGCAAAAGTGAACAAGTAGTGTAAGAACCATGATCCGGCTCTGAATTATATTCGTTCGTGTTTTAGTGATTTTATAAAGTGATATTCTTTCTAATACCCATAGTAATGATTCAAAATGTTCATTATTGTTTCTCAGCCGATCTGTTCCCAAAAGTAGATTACATTCAGTTGTGCCTCTTTGAAGCCATACACATCTCAGTCGTTTAGCATTGTGAGGTTATTATCTTGATCTTTGATTCATTTCAATCTCGTTTTCTCTTCTAATTCTTACTTTACGTTATCGTTCTAAGACTTCTTACTTCTTTTTCAAACCAGCAATGTTTGTAATTCTTATTATTCGAAATAAAAACTCACATTTTTGGCGGATTACAAACTATATGTGCCATGTAGCAAAACGTATCAATGCGTTCTGTTCCTTCATCAAGTTGATTTGGTGTATCTGCCCCTTTTCATTCTTGGTTTTTCCAGTGGTCGACGTATGTTGGGCATTTTGCAAGGCACATTGAACCAGTTTCGAGCGGAATCCGCTGCGGCCGTGACCAAACCTCAGATGGCCAAACGTCGTGAGATCGATGCAAAATTGGAGGCCCGTGCCGAAAAGGAACGCGAAGTGCTTCGACGCGAACGTGCCGAATTATTCCGTGCCCGACGAGAACAACAGTTAGAAGTTGCACTGCTCCAGGAAAAAATGCGAGTAGCCAAAGGTGTAAGTATTTGTCAAAACATTAGTCTCTTGGTCATCAGCGTACCTACGCTAATCTAATTAGATGCGGGTATCGTTTTTCACTGACTTTTGAACGCACGCAAGTGATGTGTGCTGGAAATTTGTGAGAACAGATGCTTCTCAACCGATCGAAATAGAAATGAATTCATAAATCCCCAGCTGATTGACGAATGTGATTGACAATTTCATCGTCATTCGCCTAAATAGTGTTTTTTTTATCGAGCAGCTGAAGTATAGTCGAATTCCGTGGAAGGTGACACGGAAGAAATCAAAGAGTACTGACCGTGTGAAGGCTAAATTTCGCACACCTAGCTCTGGTTCTCAAGTCCATGTATGCACAAACATCCCAACTGAACGGAATCAGGGCTAAACAAGAAAATTTCAGCTATTCTTATTGTGTTTGCTTTGCTCCTCGCATGGTATCGATGTTTTGCGCCTTAAACTCACATCTAAAAGTTCCATTTCCCCTTCGTTGTCAGTTTGAATTGTGGAAAGACGAAATGGAAAAAATGATGGGTTTCTGTCGAACCGAGGTATCGCCGCATATATTCTTTCAACCCAAGGTACACAATCAAGAATCCCGACGTCGGACCGAAGCAACGGCTTCGGCAATTCGTGGTATGTTTGTTTTTTCGAAGTGTATTTTCTTTCTCGACCTCGTGTACAAAGCAACCGAGTGTTCATTTATTTGAACTGACTATCCTTCGAAATCAACCTTCACGCACAACCCTCAGTTCATCGATTCAACCTTACACACCGAAACATTAGGCTCGAGTTTCGCTCCTAATAAAGCTCATCAGTAATGTATATCCACCGTCCCATCCGGGATTTAAACTCCGAATCCATCGCATGGAAGGCGTGTGCATTACCCTGTGCCATTGCTGAATCGCATTGCCAAACCACTCAATATGAATTAGACCACACCACTACTCACTGATAACTGTGAGTTAAATGCGAATAACCGAGTATTTCCTAGGTTACTCAAGTTATGCGAGATATACGAACTTGCTCATGTCTGTTTTGTTCATTTATCAGGGCGATTGAGTCATTACGACAAACAAGGTCTCGCAATAAAATAGTTAAAACAGATATCTAATATGCTGTTAAAATTAACCAATGGACACGAAAACTTGGTACTGAAAAAGATTCAGTTAGTTGATCAGTTGCGAAATTCAGACTCCCAAGGAGTGTGTTTGATTCTATCCAGGTTAGATAGTTGCGTACTGTCTGTAATCATCAGAGCTCCCGCTTCTCATCTCCCCAATCATTTGACGGTAAAAAAATGAGAAATGTCACATTTAGTTCCGGGTGTGGTGATAAGACAATGTCGTCTTCAACGCTGTTCCGGTTTTTAATAGTGTCGGCATGTGATGTGTGCCAGGGTTTCATCAAATCTCAGTTTGAAAGATTCAATAGTTGTTGCACAAACGAAGCGAGATGGAAAGCATTCCAAATGGAGCACACTGACGGCAAAAGATTGACGCCGGTATTCCAGTCGACGCTTAAAAAGGATTGACTTGAAATCAAATCCCCCGTCTTGGTTGTTGGACGACAACGTAAGCGGCAATCAACATGGATGGTTTGAGTTCCTTCGCATTTGTCACACCGAATTCGAGTCTCCTAGAATTTAATGGTACTAAGTGGAATATGATCCCAATGATTGTAGTTTCTCTCTGTAGATGAGGTGATGTAATCCCTTCACCATCTTTGTGGCAGTCCTTCGTAGGCACTCCAGTATCACACGATCACGTAGTCATGGACTCCAGACTTGGGTGGCACACTCTGTGTACAGTCGAATGCACACTGATAGCAAACCTGGGAACAGTGCTCAGTTAAACCGAACAGTGACGCGCTCTAGCGAGCTGACATTCTTTACAGCTGCGAACGAGGCACTGGCGCAATTGATTAAACAGCCTAGGTCTTGAACAATGATAGCTTGGTCCTCACTTGAATTGAGTAGCCGCCGTTGATTTCCGGGGAATCACGGGAATCTACTCCTGTGGCGTAGGTATAGGACTTTGCATTTAGAAACATTGAGTTCAATGTTGTTCTTCACAGACCACTAATAAGCTGCGTCAAGTGGTTTTGAAGTGGTGGCAAGCCCTTGGGTTGTGGTCTTGTATTCCAGATTTTAGCATAGTTTTTGGCCATAGAACACTCAGTAGATCATTTATGAATACGAGGAATAGTCGGGGACCATGTACATATCCTTGTGGAACCCCAAAGGTGTCGTTGACAAAACAGGACGGGGAATAAGAAACACGAACTGATGTGGTCCGTTGTCGGAGAAATACTTCAATACAATCATGCACGAGACGTAATAGTCAAGTTTCTGCAACAGTATCTGCTGGTTTACCCTACCGAGTACTTTCGAGAGGTTCAGAGAAATCACATTCGCCGCCTGCCCTTTTCTAACTGTTCTGGTCCATTCATCTCGAACAAGAAGCAAGCTAGTTGATCAGGACCGTTTTTCTCGGAACCCGTGTTGAGTTGGCGAAAATGTCAGATTTTTCCATCGGTGAATCTGCCATTATTGACTCCATGATTTGAAATAACACTTGGCGAGGTCACTACAACAGCCACACTTATATAGACCTGAAGTAACTTTGTTTCCACGATTGTATGCAGCAAAATATAGCTAAGCCAGCTTCCCTGATCGCTGCCAATCTCACAGCGTACATAAACGTAATTGGGAATATGTAAGGTGAACAGGGATTAGGCCTGTTTGGAGAGAGGGGAAGATAATGAATATCTGTGGTCAGCACATTGAGCACATAATCTACAAGTATGTATACTTTTTACACCGCTGCCATGTCTTTCAGTGTCTCCAGTCGATCAGTTACAGTCCTTTGGACTCTATCGTGGAAAACGGGAGACACCTACTCTACCTAAGCGCTCTGCTGATTTCTTTTGAGGCGTTTCCAAAAAGTATCAAAACAGAAAATTGCTTTGATATCTCCTTGCGATTTAAGGGCAATATATTGGTAAAAACTGCATCGTAGGCTGTCGACAAAACGTTCCGTACTCGATTCACATCTGGTCCATTAGTGGCTAATCTACGGTTGAACGAGAGAACATCCGATCCTGCTGCTTCTTTCTGTACGTACTCATCCATCTGCTTCAGTGGATCAAAGTATGTTTGCCTCACAATCAGGCTTATGTCAAACCGCATCAGTGTACAGGAAGTTCCGGTTCCTAAGGTGATTCCACTGGCTTTAGTGCTTGCCCAACCCTACTCCGTATTTAATTTTCCTCTTGTATTATCCGTTTACTTTTCGACCATTCAGCTTCTTACTACTTATTAGTAGCATACTCCATAGTTGCAACTTTCATTCTCTCTCAGCAACTTGTATTAAACGCAGTCAGTGACACCGCAGCTCATTTACCCACTTCGTTTTGAGCTTTTGGTCATTGCTCATTCCACTGAAAGCATAGGCTAGTTGCAGCGCAATTCCTTAAAACTGACCGTATAATTTCCATTAAACCAAATAAATCTGAAAATATTTTTTTCTACCCCGAGTAGCATAAGCCGTTATGACCATTGTCTAGAATAAGACTCGCACGATTTCCGCAAGCATTTGCTTCGATGTCGACTAGAGAATGATATCGATCGGGAGTGATACACAATCCTGGAGCCATAGTATAGTTTCCACGGAGCTCTTTGGGGTGATGTGTGATAATCACCATCTATCTATTTTCTGCCAACTATTCATCTTTCTTTTCACTTCCTTTATTAAATATATAATAATGCAGGTAATTTTTTTAAAAGAGGGAAGCGGCTAATCCAAGAGCTACAATACACAGTAAATGTGGAGTTGGTTTTGTTCCGGGCCTATGTCCTTTGAGTCGATAAGTTGGTGGCCTTCCCTGCTTGACCGCCACACATACGAAGGCCAGATGCTTACATCATCTAAGAGTAATGTGACAAGAGCTGTGAACTGTTGAATGTATTCACTCGAAGGCAGTGCACGACTTAGATTATGACTCCAGTTCCAGGATTGGAAACCGGCAACCTGTGTTTAATTGTGAATAGATGACCCTGACTTCACTGATTCAGATCCCAGTCGATCCGGTCGCTTTTCACCTGTCAAACTATCTATCTGAAATAAGAACCACACGCCTCAGCAGGATGCATCATGAAATGCTTGAATGTAACCCGTAACTGCACGAGGCTGTTACTGTTACCGCATTTTATTTGTTTGCGTTTATTGCAATGGCTTCTGCAGTCTGGAGAAAGCCTCGTGAAGATGGGCAATTATGTAGAGTCGGTGTCCCGCTCCATTCTAGTTTTGTTCCAGAAGACTCCGTGACTGGATGGTCGGAGACACTGAAGATCATGGCAACAAACCAACAGCAGTGGCGATCTTGCTATCACTTATTAGACCAGAATGCTTGACGTAGTATCTATGCACATTTAGACTGTGTACTCTATATGTTGACCATAGAAGTGCACTTTCTTTTCCCGTCCCTAAAACAGACCTAATCCGTATCCTCACACATTCTCACTTACGTTGTATGCATTGTGAATTTGGCAGCGATCATGAAATTTCACTTCACAGTATTACATTGTACAATGATGATGACGAATGTTATTCTGTGGTGAAACATAATTGCACATCTTTAGATTCAAATGCCTGAAGCAGTTTGTTCTAATGGGGAGATAGCGTAGCACACAGGAGGTGATTTGGCCCAGCCTCAATAATAGTTCAGCGTCTACTACTGATACGAATTGTTATTTAATGACTGATGCTTATCATGGGGTCGTTGCACCAAACATACGTATCTTTCATTTAAACCTCTTGCATTCATCTTTTTGCGTCATTCCTCAGATATGATCAATCGTCGAAAGCGGAAGTTGGATATCAATTTTGAAGAGACTTGTGCCGCGCGTCGTCGTTTCTTAGGTCCACAAGCGAATAAAGATAAGGTAAATGACGACCGAGATAGCCCTAAAAGTGATGATCATCCCTCTTGGTCATCGATCAGTCGCGATGGCCCGGTGTTAAACAGTCTTGTTTCTAACGCCAAATCAACGTCGGCTTTTGAATCCAGTGTTTCGAAAACCGCTAGTCGTCGTCCTGACCCTTCCGACACTGAGCACGCGGATTCAGGCGATGAGTCAGATGCCAGTGAGACTTTCGCGATCGAGGGTGATGAGGAACCTCTATTAATGGAAGAAGAGCATTTAACGGCAACTGCCAATACCTCCGGCCCAGTTCATTCACCGTTGGATCGAACAGTTGCTAGTTCTGGACCTAATCCAGATTCCCCACAAAGTCAGCGAGATATCCTGGAGGCAATACATCAGTCTCCTTCTGGGCATGATGACACCCGGACTGTACGGTTGGAATAGTTCTCAGTCGTGATCTACGCCCCACTTCAAAACTATGCGGGTAGTTTGTACAATTTTTTTTACCACTGACCTGTTTTGCGAGCAAAATAACTTTGTTTCCTCGCTCGATACCCGCGTTTGTACCTCGTTTGTACAGAATTGCACATACATACGTCCAACCCCATGCATCCCATTTGCCCTATCCATGTATACCTTTCGTGAATTGTTTGTTGTGTATTCTGATAATACTGACGGTCCATATCGTGGTTTTCGCTTGCGTCAACTCCCGACCTATTGAATCCAGGAGCCTGATTGGAATAATGTTGCGTTTCGCATCCTCCACTATCCTGTTCAGCGCGGTTTTTGCGAATATATTGCCTATTTTTGCCGATCATCAGCCCGAATAGACTTTTGTGTCAGTCTGCTTTCTTTCTCTCTGTTGAATATCGCTTTGGTGCGGTTTGACACGCTATCTGGTTGTCGAATTTCGTTACATTGTTCAGTGGTGGTAGTCGAGTAGTTTAAATTGACTGTGACGGTGTCCTTCGAACCCTAAGATCGAGGATCCGAAAGCAGCCCCCGCTACCCATATTCGATGGTGGTCATTTTCACTAGAGTTCGACTTAAGATCTCACCAATCTTGTTGGCTCTATTCGCAACCCCGAGTTGTCACTGGTTCACGCATGCACACATGGGTAAATGTCACATTCAGGTGTGTAATAAAAACTTTATATTTTTCTCACCAAAGTTGGTTGTTTCTGTCTCATAGTCAGTATCGTGATTACCTGAAAATGACGTTCAGACGTGCTGAACCGAAATCAACTACATCTGCAACTCGAACCGAACGGTAACCAAACGTGTGTGTGTGTGTGTGTGT